GGTTGTTGATTCAATATAGGTACTGCAAGCTCCTTCAAAATCCTATTTTCGGCCATGGTTCCTTTTCCTTCAAACTCAATAATCAAAATCACTTGCAAATGGGATGTTGGGAATGAGGTTGCTTTCTTCAAGATTCTATCGAATGTCACCCCTTAACCTGGGCAAGGTTCTTTCTAATTCTGGGTTGTACTACAAATCACCTTAATTGGAAGATCGAGTTGCGACCATGAACAAATAGAACAAATGAAAAATAAACAAGAAAGAAGCTAGAATGAGAAAAACCAATAAAATTTTATGCTAAAATTCCTAAAACGATAAAAGCCTAAAAAAAATCCTAGAAAATTACGATTTTTTTTTTCAAAAACGAAATAAATAACTAAAGAAATACAAAAATAAATTAGCACAACACCCCGGCAACGGCACCAAATCCCTAGCATAATGTCCGAGTTTGCCACTCACATAACAAGAAACTTTAAATTTCATCTTGTTCTTGTTATCTTTGTTGGGGTTTGTGGATTATTCTTCTTATAATCCTTGTTGTATTTGTTTGTTAAATCTACGGCATGAGATCTAGAATTGCTTTCATGAGATGTTCATTCCCATCTCCTACCTTTGACTCTTCCTCAATTCGAAAATGTTTTTGAATTTTTTCCGAAGAATAATCTTGAAAATTGTGAAGGATTTTCTTCCTACAACCTTTCCATGAAGATGGCTATTTCACAATAATTGCACCAGTTTGGAAGGTTTCGGGAAGATCAATCTTCACGACCTTCATTTTATGGACAATGATTTACAACTATGGACTTATCCTAACAAAGCTAGTTATCCAAAAATATGAAATCAAAATACTTAATAAGAAATTCTTTGGTACCTTCCTCCTCGACCTTGTATTTGGTTGCCAACGATTCCCGTATCTCCTTTGCATTGGTGTTATTTGTGTAGAAATCATAGAGGCGATCGGAGAGAGCGTTCAGAATATGTCATCTGCATATCAATTTATCTTTTTCTCTCTACTTCCTTTTCGCCCTTGTTTTGTCGGTGTCATTTGGGGTTGGTTCTAGCAATTGTGCTAAGTATGGATCCAAAATGTAGAAGTTCTTCAAAATTGTGAGAAGAAACTTTAACTTGTCTTTCCATCTTGTAATGTTCGAACCGTCAAATCTGTTAAGCCTCACAAGGTCTTGAGTCATCATATTTATCGTAACCATGGTTGTCTTGCTCTCCATGTTGAATATAGTTTGAGATTGTTGAGAAAAATTGATGAAGAATGGAAAATTAAAATCAGCAACAAGAAATTACCAAAATAGAAGATTTGAACATGATTATGAATCGTTATCCTCAAACGATATTTGCCGCCACCGGAATAAATGCCTGAAGGCTTTATGGCAAATAGTTTGTAGGAGTAAACCTTTATCCAAATTTGAATCAAGTAAACAAAACTTGAAAAAATGAACTAAAGAACAAAATTATAAAGACTTGATTTTATCTTAGATTTTAGATATAATGGAATCAAATTGATATATATATANTTCAACAAAATGGCCATTGTAATTGCAACACAAGGCAAGGCGGCCACCAAAGCCATTTTTCGGCCATCAATATTTTTTGCTGTCATTTTGTTTTTGCTTATTTTTCTCATGGTTAATCATTTTCATCACTTCCAAAATCACTCATCATTTTTCATTCGAACAATATCCAATGGCTCCAGCATTTGCATTTCGTTTCCCATCCCCATCCCCCCACCTCCCACACCATGTTCCTTTTTCTCTATATGACCCTTGTGTTCGTTTTCCTTTTTCTCTATATCACCCTTGTGTTCGTTTGTCAAGAAGATAGAATTAAAGAATAAGATCAGTTTTGACAAGGTTGAGTTGATTTTGGCTGAGTTCAAGTTGCCTTGACTCGTTTACAAAAATAACTATGTTATTAGAGTATTAGATAGTAGATATTTTTCTCTCACAGCTAGGTGCAAGCTGTCCCTTTTTCCCGCCTTTTATGTTTCTGGTTTTTCTATTATTTATACACTTGGGGCTATTTTGTAATACGACGAGATTAACAAACTCAATATCAGATTTACATTTTCCCGCCTTCTCTCTCTCTCTCTGAATTCAATATATGTCTTTCATAGTATTAATATTTATGATATTTTGCATGAAAAGAAAATCTTTTGAATAAAAATTTAAATAGTAAGACTTTTTGTTACCACGTGTGAGAAGACACACTCTTCCATTCTCATAAGATACAACTTACACCTTCATACATCAAAAAATTGATCACCCACCACCCCAATCAATACAATGACCCTATATTTGTACAGAGCGAATTTGAGATTTTTCGGAACATGGTCAAAATTTAAAATTTGGCCTCTCAAGTCGTAATGTGCTTTTAAATTTTTTTGTTAATTAATTGTCTGTTTGACACTCATTAATTTAATTTATGGTTTGCTACGTGATCTTTTTAACTACACATTTCTCTAAAAAATCACTATTCAAAACTTTATTTTTTTCTCTAAAATAATGGTTGTCAAATAGCAATTTAACTTTTTCTTTTGTATGATTCGAAAAAAAAAAAAAAAAACTTAAAACTAATGAATATCGGAAAGCAAAATCCATTATTTTTAATGCCTCAAATAGATGTAGTTAAAAAAAAATTATGTTAAAATTTGTAAATCAATTTGAATTCCATCCAATACATACCATCAAAATTCAGCTGAAATAAATCTTCATAGTCAGAGAGGGGAAAAAATGACTCATAAACAAGAAATTTCCAATGATAATTCATCAACAAGGAACCATAAGGAAAATTTTCAAAATTTTTCTTTCTTGGAACGATCTTGTTTAGGTGTTGGCTGTTGGGAAATTTGATGAATTCCACTTGAGGGATCGTAGAATAAAGCAACCAACTAAAACCAAAAAAAAAAGACGATTACCAATGAAAGCAATGAACCTGTTAGGTTTATACATTATATTGGCAATTATGTAAACAAAGGACCAACTTGAACGATTATAAAAGTTTAGTGATTAAATTGTAAAGTTTCATAATTGGTAGGTTAGTTTGGGGTTTCATGTTTGGAACAAGAAGGATTCATGCTGATTTTTCGCTAGCTGCTTGCCAGAGTCATGCTCGAGCAGATGAAGCAGGAACATCCTAGCTCAACCTTCGCCCCACTGTTGCTCGAGTGACACACCTTTAGTTCGAGCAAAGTGTCCTCCTTGCTCGAGCGACGTATTTTTTTAGGCCAAAACTAATTTTGATTTTCGAGACTTTTACTTGGCCCATTTTTACCTAAACTGTCTAACCTATAAATAATGGCGCCGCATATTCTACTAGTGGGAGATTGAACATACTATTTTCTAGAGAGAATTCATCATACACAANCCGTCGTATATTTTTCTAGAGGGAGATTGAACACATTATTTTCATAGTGATTACATTTTACACAAGATCAAAAGTTCAATCCTTCAATCATATATGTGCTTATCTTATTGAAAACATCAAATCCATCAAGTCAAACACCGAACTGCATTCTTCGCTTGGGTCTGTCAGAAAGATTGTGTCGTTAACTTTGCTGCTTTGAAGATCAAGGAAGAAGTTGAAGAACGAGGAGTTCTTGGGAAGATCTACTAGAGATAAACTGCATATATGGTCAGGATTGGAGTTCGTGTACTCATTCTAAGATGACTGCTTTACAAAGAAGAGCCATGATCGGTGTTAATGTGCACATTCTATGAGGGCTGCTTCAAACTTCAGATAGGAGATTAGAAAGCTTGTATCTTCAACTTTACTGGTAGTCTGTAAGTTTATTCAAAGTTTATAGTGGATCTTTGACTGACAAAGTGCTCGGAGTTTTTTCCGCGTTAGATTTCTTCATGAACAATTCTAGTGTTGTTTACTGCTGTCCTTACTGTTTTGATATTACCGTGGTATTAAAAAATATGACTAATTGAACTGTTTGACTAATCACCTAGACATAAATTAAAGTTTTAATTTAGCATTTACACCTAATCACCCCCATCTAGGTGTTGTTGGGTCGGATTTTGCGTTTTTTAGAGCCAAACACCAAACCAAGAAATTGATTTTAAAATGAACATCGATGGCTTGAACACGGGCACATGAGAAAAATTCATTAAAATCAATAGTAATTGTATTTACAATATCAAGATCTCAATTGAAATCTAAACTCTAACTCTCAAGATGTTCTTGAATAATAATGTGTGAAGATACAATGTGGAAATATATATATATATATATCATTGCTGGAGTTTTAGATGAAGAAGAAGTCATTTTCCAAGCTAAACAAATAACATAGAATTTGGATCACATCACAATAGTGTAAATTTAGTTGCAAAAGAGAGCATAAGTGGAAAACTTTTAAGGCATTTTTAAAATCTTGGATATGATGATCTATAATTAGTGGAAGACTTAATTAAGAGCATTTTCGCAGTCTTGTAGAAAAATTAGAAATCAATATATTGTTTATTGAAACTGGGGTGATACAGCATGAATGTAATGATTGACCTGCTTAATGGGATGAACATGAAACAATTGGTTAGTTCAACATTTTTGCCGCTATAAAAGGGGTGAAAGCATGTCAAGAAATCCACACACACACTCTTTGGACACCAGAGTTTTAAATATGCAGACAATGAAATGTCAAATTCGACTTCTTATGGTGTTGGGCACAACGATATGCCTTGCCTTAGTCGCACTTGCTAAGCAGGGAACTGGTGTTTTCTATGGTCCACCTTATCTTCGTGAGTAAATGTTTTGTGTTTATTAATGCATGATTTTGAGCAGTTTTTAATACTCGATTATCTAAATTTAAGGCTTTCAACGAACTAACACAAATTTTTTAAACATTCTGTAGCATCCTCATGCTATGGCTACCGAAACCAAGGAATCATGATAGCGGGAGATAATCCTACAGTGTATGATGGTGGAAAAGCATGTGGAAGATGGTATAATGTGACGTGCTTGGGAGGCACGAACAATACACCAAATCCTTGCAAAAGGGGTGACATAATTGTAAGAATCGTAGATCTTTGCACAAGATGCGGAGCGGACGAGATTAGTCTCTCTCGATATGCCTTCTCGAGGATTGCTAACCTTAGGGCTGGAAGAGTCCGCGTTGAATATACCCAGTAGGCAAACTTTCAATTTCTAGTTCTTTAATAATTTTTTCTTTATGTTTTAAGAATCAATTCTCGCAATTAGTGTTTATCTTTTTAATCTCTTATTTTTGTTGTGATTTTCAGGGTTTGAGGCAATTTGGTATGAGAAACCAAAAAAATCAAGGCTACTAAATAAGCTTGTTTATAGCTTTGCTTATACGCATACTAGCACTAGTTAAATAAGAAATCAGACAAAAATAGATTTTTGTCTGGTTGTATAAAAATAAGGATGTAGTGAGTTTGACATTGGTAGCTTGTCATATATTCCATGTGCAAATGAAACTTTAAAGCTCATGCAATGTAATGATGTGTTATCTCTTAGTATTAGTCTGCGCAGAGAACCAGTCAACGCACTAGCTGCAACTAATGTCAATTACGTGCTCGACTTGGCAAGCTTATGGTATAATAGACTAATAGTAACAGAGTAGGTATAGAAAAGGTTTTAAAATGCGATGCATATGCGTAATTATGCATTCATTCTTTGATGTCAATTACATGCTCGACTTGGCTAGCATTACAAGCATATGTATTTCTATGCAAAACATATGCATGATTATATGTTCTTCAACTTTTAAAATATTATTTTAATTATTCCAAACTAATAAATAGATAAAATAATGCATTCTTTGAACTATTTTAAAAATTTTCAGAAAAAAATATATTGTTCAAAATCATGAATACTCTAATTAATTGAGCTTTCTACATATTCTTCAGATTTTCAAGGAAAATATATTGCTTAAAATCATGAAAACTACAATTACTTAATAATCAATCCTACAATTAGATTGGACATGAACCCCGGTTTTAAAAAAAACATTAAATCTTGTCTAGCTCTTTTATCGTATTCGAGTTCAATCTCATCTTCTTCATCCAAATCATTCGATGCAAAATCATCTTCATTGGGCACCATTTTTTCAACTCAAGAATTTCTATTACCTCTTGTATATAGTAAGATATGATTGTGAACCTCCTCATCATCATCACAACTATTAACAATTCAAAATTGTGCATTATTAGCATCACTTGTTAATAAAACTACAGGAAGATTGAAGAAGAATGAGGCTTGGGCTCAACGTAGATAGTTTGCAACTTTATGAAAAATTTGTTTGATTTTTTTATTTTCTAAACGTCAAAATCCTACATATTGTTATATATAATTCACAAGTTTGGGTGATTTGGCCTAATTTGACATTTGTTGGGCTCAATTTACCTTTTATAAATTCTAAAAATGGGTTGGGCTATGTTAAGCTCAATTTGACACAATTGTTAACACAAATACGGGCACATTTTGATGTTTTAGCGTGCATATATGATTGACGAAATGGGTTGATCATATCATCATATGCATACTCCATATGTGGGGCGTTTCGAAAATGCATCAAACATATGCAAGTATATACGAAGCATATGTGCACAATTTATAACACTGGGTACAATTAGCGTAAGGACTATATTGTTGCCAAAATGCACTTGAAAGAGGAATATATTGTTGCCAAAATGCACTTGAAAGACTTTATTAGAAATATATATTACGATGAATGCCTCATCCATAATGAGTTTCGATCCTCATAAAACTCAAATATGTCCACTTTCTTACAAAATAAGGAAAAAAAATAAGATTTTATTGGGAGTCATTTACCCCTTGTTCGTTAGTAAGAATTCACATGGGAACACGACCACATAGTTTCAAACCACATGCCAGTGGCTTCACCTTCTTAATTTTGTAAGTAAGTAATTGGCATCAAGGCAATACATAGTGCTCGCCCTGACTATAGACGGGTAGGCACCATTTAGTCCCCATTTTGGTGAGGGTTCCAAAAAAATTATTATATAGAATTATATTTATAAATAATAAATAATATTTTTCCAAAAAAAACTTTATATTCGTCAAAGCGTAAAAAAGGTTTTTAATTCATTAAGACTTTCAACTTGGTTAGTTTTCCATTTTTCTGATTTTTAAGGTAACATAGGTTTTTTCTCTTCTTTTCATTTCTTTTGTTTGTTAGTGACCTTTCAGCTTTTATTTTATTTTCTTCCTTAGGTCCTTTTTTAGCGCAATACAGGAAAGCGCCCCTCTTTATTTCATCCTGTAGCTTTCTAGATTTTGGTATTGAAGGCATAGCATAGACAGAGCTGGAGTTAAAAAAAACTAGTCCCTATTCAACCTATAAGAAAAGCTCTTCTTGTGCGCTGTTTAATCATCTTCAATTTATGATCTCCAAATTCTACCATTTGCAATTTTATAGCTTACATTTACATTCTTTGACAATAATACTGATATCGTTATATGCATAATATGAGTTATTTCTATAATGTAAATATCAGACATTTAAGTCGCTATCACAAACACATTGACAAGTCAATTTGAAATGGTTAAAACAATAAGATTTCAAACTCTACAAATAAAAGTCGTAAACACTTGATGGATGCATGTGATGACCCTAAGGTGAATAAAGATGCTAAAAATTTATCTTATGGCATTAAGAATTTTGAGCTCTTGTGATGTGATTGTTTGGTACTATATATTGTGCACTATTATAGCGTTTGCAAAATGTTGCAAAGTGAAAACATGTCTATTGATGTTGTTATTAATCATTCAAAAGCACTTATTTAATTTTTTTAAAAAATAGATAAAGAAATTTCTCAAATGGAAGTTGAACCTACTTTTCATGAAAAGCTTTTTATTCATATAAAGAAGTACTGTGATAAAATTGTTAATGATGAAATAATGTATTGAACTCAAGAATCTTTTAGAGTTGATTATTTCTTATATATATAGTTGGTTAAGCTCTTTCCTCACTTAAGTTAATGTTCGAACTATTTCAAAATTTTGAAATTACTTTTGAGTTTCTATTTGATTTAAAAAGTTCGCAGCCTACAAATTGTAATTGTTTGAAGTAACGGTGTGATAAGCTTGAAGAATTTTTTAAGCACGACAATGATTCTAATATTGATGAGCAAAGTTATATTATGAGCTGCAGATTGTTAGAAACTATTTGTCAGAAAAGATGTAGAAGGTGATTGAAGTGTTAGATTATATAAAAATGATATACTCTTGTTTTCAAATGTGTAGATTACTTATAAAATATTATTGATTATATTAGTTACATTTGTATATGTCGATATCAGCTTCTCAAAGTTGAAGTTGATAAAATTCTGCCTTCGATCAACAACAAGAAAGGTTGAATGGATCTCTGGTGTCTATCAAAAAAAAGGTTAAAACAGATTAATTGTAATAGTATAATAATTGATTTTCTATCAAAACCTCAAGAAAAGTAAATTTAATTTAGGCGTTTGAAAGTTTTAGATTATTATTTTCATAACTTTGAATACAATTATTTAGCTCATGTTTGACAACCATTATTTGTGTTGTGAAACAAAGATGATATCGGATTAATCAAATATCAAATTGTTGGAGAAAATAGGAGATTATAGCCGCAATACAAAGTAATTAAACGCAAGAACAAAATAATTTACAAAAAATGAAAATTTTATTATAATATAGAGAAAGAATTAAAAATTTTGTATTTATAATGTTTTTAACTTCTATTAAATCATAATGAAGTGCCACCTATATATAGAGAACAACTAGAAGACGTCAAAATCCTAATAGTAGCATTGTAGTTGAAGTAGAATGCAAAAATAAAGTTTGCAACGGGAATAAAAGTTCCCAGGCGGGTTCATCCCAAATCTCTTCCAAAGATGGTTTTCTTCATTCCAAAATCTTTTCAAGCCAACACAAATTTCAATTCTCAATTGGGCTTCCAAGTAGAATTTCAACTAAAATTCGCAAAGTGAACTTTAATAGGATTCCACAATAGCATTCCTAATATAATTCTTCTTAGCACTTCAATTAAAACTCTTAATAGTCTTCAACAAAGAATTCAGATTACACCCAAATTCTAATAATTTTCACTTTGACATAAATTATACTGCAATAAACAAAACTTCAAAGAAAAAAATTCTCCACCTAGAGACAATTTTCACTGTAAAAAATAAAATTAAACCCTTCAATGAAAAACAAAATTGAACTTTTCTATCAAAAATTTCTAATTGAAAATATTTTTCACTTCTTCTACCCCAACTAGGGGCAAAAGTGATTTAATGATCACCAAACAAGGCTGAAACAAGCTCTGTAACATAATCACAATGGATATTGGCTAGAATCATTACCTTTAACCGCATCCAAACCATCAACTAAATAGCAGAATTATATGTATGTACAATCTTGTATCCAAAAATTGGTCTATTTGTAGCAACTAAATACAATTATACCGCCAATGATGGTGGCAAGATGGATTTACCCATAACTTCTAAATTCAATTAAGATATATTCCTTAAAGAAGACCTCAAATTAGACTCCAACAATACAGAATCCAACTCAAACTCCACCTTAGTTTTTAAAATATGCTGATTGCTCAAAGATTTTGTGTAAAACCATATCCCTCTAACAAGACACGGGCTCCTTATAAAAAATTTAAACCTCTTTAGAGTTGTAGTTAGACATAAGTAAAAACTCTCCACTACTGTTAGGATTTTCTATGGTACTTGCTTTCCCTAAAATTCCTGATTATTGATTTACAGTCAATTTTAATTCAGCAACTTATAACAATCGTTTATCAAGTACTCATTTTTCTTACAATAATTATAAAATTTGAAGTTAGATTTTGACTTGCACCTTAAACGACCACCATCAATAATGAGGCCATTTCCATGACCCTTAAATGCAACAAGACGTTTCATCTTTTTCTTTAAATATAGAGCATCATAGACTCATTCAATTGTGAGAGTATTACGACTGTATAAAACCGTGTCTCTAAAATACATATATGTAAATAAACATAATAAAATTAATTACAAATCTTCTTCATCATATTTTACTTCCAAGTTCTCCAAATTAGCAATCATTTCCTTAAAAGTAGCTAGGTGATCCTCAAGAGATGTACTTGCTGTCATACGTTGTTTTAGATATAA